AACGCCCCCTCCCTGGCGCCGCCCCCCCACCTGCTGCCATGACCCACACCTGGTACCGTGACCCACACCTGGTACCGTGACCCATACCTGGTGCCGCCCCCACACCTGCTGCCATGACCCACACCTGCTGCCAGGACCCACACCTGGTACCGTCCCCACACCTGGTGCCATGACCCACACCTGATACAGCACCCACACCTGCTGCCAGGACCCACACCTGGCACCGTGACCCACACCTGGTACAGCACCCACACCAGGTCCTGGTGGTGTCAGCCCCACCTGGCACTGGCAGCGTGTGGGCACAGGTGTGTGAGTCACAGCAGCAGCCCCACCTCCTGCGGCAGCCCTGGCTGCTCCCCGAGGGAGGCCACACTGTGGACGCGCCCGTCCCGCCGGCGCTTCCCTTACGCTGGACTTCTCCTCGAAGCTGCCGAGGTCCTTCAGCAGGTGCCCCACGTGCGCCAGGCTGTTGCCCACGTCAGTGAAGGTGCTGATCTTCTGGGACACCACGTCCAGGGTGGCTTTGACCTGGAACAGAGGAGGGGCCCTGAGAATACCCATGACCAAACAGAGAGGGTGTGGACCAGGAAGGACGCGGGAGGAGGGCCCAGACCAGCCCACGCTGGGCTTGGGACGGCCGCCGACCTAGAGGGGCCATGGGGCCTCCTGGACTGGGGCTGGCCCTGCCAGTGACCCACAGCCAGGGTTCATTTCTCCATGCCCACAACTAACACCAAGACCCAAACACCGTGAAGATAAAGAGAGCTCACAGGATGAGCCCGGGAGCTGGGGACAGAGGGGACAGGCTGGGCGACCCTCCCTGCTGGTGTCAGGCCTCTCACTGGCACTGACTTCCAGCACACACTCCTGGCGCTGACGTGCGAGTGGTTTGTAAACACGCAACACGGTGTCCCTGTTAACAGACGTGGCGACAGCTGCCGTTGGCAGTCCCCTGAGAATGAGGATGCCCACCCTCAAAGCTGCTGCAGGTGGCCCAGCTGGCAAGAGAGGGCACCCTCCACGCATCACCCAGGGCCACCTGGGTTCCAGGCAACACAGACCAACTTTGGGCGGGGCTCTTGGGAGCCCATCCTGGGAGCCGCCTCCGGTGCTCCGTCTCCCAGCCCTGCCTTACCCCGCCCCTGGTACCACCTCCGGGTCACCTTGTCCCATGCGCTGCTCTGCCCCTCACCCCTCCACTGAAATGGAAGCTCCCCAAGAACCCGGGACCAAGCAGCCTCAGGTCTGTCACACAGGTGCCACGGGACGTGCCGGGTGACGGACGGTGATTTCTGCTTCTTCCAGCCTGGGGTCCGTGGGCCCATGGGGCAGGCGTTCAGCCACTGGTGCCCCTCACCCCTCCACTGAAATGGAAGCTCCCCAAGAACCCGGGACCAAGCAGCCTCAGGTCTGTCACACAGGTGCCACGGGACGTGCCGGGTGACGGACGGTGATTTCTGCTTCTTCCAGCCTGGGGCAGGCGTTTAGCCACTGGGCTCCCTGAGCACGCTACATGATGAGACAGAAGGAGGGAGCTTGCGCAGAAGTGCCCAGCCAGGCCCGCGGGGTCGGCAGGGCGGGGTGGGGGGGGCGGCAGCGTGAGCTCAAGGCCCACACTCCTTGCAGATTCAACCACGTGTGCTTTCATTGGCCGGAGGCACTGGCAGAGTTGGCTTGGAGGACTTCTTAGCCCCAGGAAGACACCCTAAGTGGTAGTTTGAGTCTGTATGAAATAAACTGGTGCCTTTGGGCCCCCTCTCAGACCTAAGCTCTGCGTAGCCAGCAGAACCGCCTTAAAATGGTTAAAGAAAGTTGTTCAAACAGACAGGAGAGGAGAAGGTAGGAAAGTAAACCTGGACTGTGATAGAGAGAAGGCCACGGTGAGGAGAAATATCGGTAAATATGACAGGCTGCCCTCCCGTGAGCTGTGTAACCTGCTGGCTGGTGAAGCAGAACTGCAGGGCCGGTGAGGCTCTAAGCGCACGCAGGGCAAAGGTTTAAGACAACAGAAACAGAAGAGGGGAACAGGTGTGGGACCCCTCCACGTGCCCGCGTGCACAAGTATGTGCACATTACATGGACCGTACACTAATATGTCACACAAATTACACAATGAGAGAAACAGAAAACAAGCTGTAGACAAACGAAAATACAATTCTAAAAAATATTCGAGTAACCACAGAAAGGCAGGAAAAAGAAAATAGTAACCAAAGAAATACAAAGAACACAGAGAAAGCATAAAATGGCAGACTTCAGCTCTCACATACCAATAACTCCATTAAACATACAGGATCTACTACGCCAGTTCAGAGCACGGCCTCGTGGGTAAGGGGACCGGAGCCCACGTGGCTGCCTGTGGGCTGAGGACCGGCCCCAGTGGTCTGAGAAACGTGCCAGGTACATGTGTGGGCATGCACCAGTTTCTGCAGACATTTCAAGGATACAGAGATGGAGGAGAGGGTGCTGTGGGGTGACCACACCCGGGGACGGTGTCTGCTCTCTAGAGACCTAGAGCATGCACATGCTCTCTAACAGCTGCAAACAACAGAGCAGAACCAAACCGCAGCAGAGCAGGTGTGAGACATGACGAGAGCACACATCACGTACGAGAAAAGATATGTACGTGAAAGAGAATGGGATAAAGCGTAGCGCGCAAGTATTCATCACGTGAGAATAGCAGTGGCCATACCAACATCAGGTAAGGGAGACTCTGGAGCAAAGAAAATTCCCAGAGACAGCGAGACACTACGTAGGGATAAAGACGACAGCAGCCGCAAATGTGCATGCACCAGACCTGAGCTAAAACATATAAAGCAACACAGAGAAGTGAGAGCAGAGACGGACGATCCACATTTACAGCCGGAGGCTTCGGCACCCTTTCAACAACACAGAAAACCAACCAGGCAGGAAATCAGCAAGGGCAGCCCAGCAGTGGGCGTAGTGGCTGTGCTGGACTCCCACATAGTTGACCGCGGTGTGTCTCACACCCAGTGGCACAGGGCACGTGTGCGTGCGTGCCCAAGATCCCGAGAGGAGAAAGGAGGAGAAGGGACTGTGGCATGGCCATCCCCCCGGGGGTGATTTCTCGCTTTCTGTCTCTGTCTCTCTCAGGCAAGCGCATGCGCTCTATTGCAAAAACCTCTCATAAAAAAAAAAGACAAGAAAAAGAAAATGGGTGAGGACAGAGAATTTGATCCATCGATATCAAGGGCTCCGCCAGCGGACACTTCCAGAGCACTCTATCTAACGGTGACAGAACAGAACATGCCCTTTCCCGGGTGCCTTCGGAACATGTGCCAAGAAGACCGCACTGCACCACGAGACGAAGTGCAAGATTCGCGATGACGGAAACCATCGAGTGTGTGTCCGGCCACAAGGAGTCACACCAGAAATCAAGAACAGAAAGGTATGGGGGCCAGCAGGTGGCGTGGAGGTTGAGGTGCTGGACTCCCACATGGTCAACTATGGATTGAGTCCTGGACCTGGAGGCTTGCAAGTCATGCCGGACATGTGTGCATGTGTGCATGTGTGTACGCATGCCCAAAACCCTGAGAAGAGAATGGAGGAGAAGGGGTTGTGGTGTGGCCGTCCCCACTGGGGGGTGATTTCTTTTTTTTTTTTTTTTTTTTAGAGGTTTTTGCTATAGGGTGTGTGCACTCACCAGACAGAGAGAGAGAGACAAAAAGCGAGAAATCACCCCCCAGCGGGGATGGTCACGCCATAATCCCTTCTCCTCCATTCTCCTCTCGGGATCTTGGGCACGCACGCACACATGCCTGGCATGAGTTTTAAGCCACCGGGTCCAGGACGCAAACCGCGGTTGACTACACGGGAATCCAGTGACATAGCCATTACGCTAACTGCTGGTCCCGATTTCTCACTTTCTGTCTCTCTGTCTCTCCGGTGAGCCTGTGTGCTCTACTGCAAAGACTTAAAAGAAAATATGCTTGAGTAATGGTAAACGAGACAGCAGACTGCTAAATAATCCACTAGACGATGCAAAAGTTTCAAGGAATGTTTTAAAAAGGAAAAAAAAAAACCACCCAACATATCAAAGATAATTTGCAGGACACAGATAAAGCAGTAGGGAGAGGGGTATTTATAGCTTCTCCT